GACACCAGGATATCCCAGGAGACACTGCCTCCCCCTTTCAGCACTCAGCAGGTAACTGACAGCCTAAACTCTGCATGTTTCCCTAAGAGAGTGTGTTGATGGGGTGTGTCCATCCCCCTCCTGTCAGGTCCCTAATTACACACAGATCTGTGCTGTGCAGTGTGTGGTGTCAGATTCCCACCCCCTGCCTTCTGGAGCCTTTGAACCATATACTTTGAACAGCTTAAGAGAAGAGAAGGCTACAAATAAACAGGTACAACTTAAGTAGGAGAATTTGTTTAATCTATGTGTATCAACTGAGGCCAGTCACCTCACTGGGTATATGTAAGAGTTGACAACCACTTTAAATTATCAGGGATGCAATGGACAGGATCTGACAGGGATAATATGATATGGTGATTTCTCTGTTGAAGTATCCAAAAAACACAAAAAGCCTGGGTTGCTTTAGCTCCCCAGGTTCCACCTACAACTAAAATATCACTTTTAGGCAGACTGATTTTCAACACCAGCACAGTTTTCCAGTAGCTTTTCAGGTAAAATACTCAGCTTAGTTATGCATCTTTGAGTGATCAAACACTAGAATTTGGAAATTTTAACTTCTTCCCTACCGCGCTATAGCTGAAAGATGGCTACAGCGTGGTTGTCTAGTTCTGGGCCGACGTCCATGGACGTCATTCCAGAACATGCCCCCTGCGCGCCCCCAGCGGCGCTCACCCGACTCCGATGGTAATCGCTGTGTCCTACGAACACAACTGATCACGTGATACGGTAAACGGCCAATCACAGCGGCCTTTTACCACGTGATCAGCTGTGTCCAATGATACAGCAGATCACCAGGTAAATACAGTTGCCGGTTATCAGCTGCTCTTTCCTCACATTGTCACAGTGTGAGAAAAGTACTGCTGATAACCGGCAATTGTCAGAGATGTGGTCGGCACTGATGATCAGTGCCCAGCAGTGCCACCCACCTGTGCCCTGCAGTGCCACCCACCTGTGCCCTGCAGTGCCACCCACCTGTACCCTGCAGTGCCACTCACCTGTGCCGCCCATCAGTGCTGCCTATCCGTGCTGCCTATCCGTGCTGCCTATCCGTGCTGCCTATCCGTGCTGCCTATCCGTGCTGCCTATCCGTGCCGCCTATCCGTGCTGCCTCATCAGTATCCAACAGTGCTGCCTATCCGTGCCACCTCATCAGTATCCATCAGTGTTGCCTATCCATGCCACCTCATCAGTGACCGTCAGTGCTGCCTATCCGTGCCACCTCATCAATGACCATCAGTGCTGCCTATCCGTGCCACCTCATCAGTGATCCATCAGTTGCCTATCCGTGCCACCTCATCAGTATCCATCAGTGCTGCCTATCCATGCCACCTCATCAGTGACCGTCAGTGCTGCCTATCCATGCCACCTCATCAGTGACCGTCAGTGCTGCCTATCCGTGCCACCTCATCAGTATCCATCAGTGTTGCCTATCCGTGCCACCTCATCAGTGACCATCAGTGCTGCCTATCCGTGCCACCTCATCAGTATCCATCAGTGTTGCCTATCCGTGCCACCTCATCAGTGACCGTCAGTGCTGCCTATCCATGCCACCTCATCAGTGACCATCAGTGCTGCCTATCCGTGCCACCTCATCAGTATCCATCAGTGTTGCCTATCCGTGCCACCTCATCAGTATCCATCAGTGTTGCCTATCCGTGCCACCTCATCAGTGACCATCAGTGCTGCCTATCCGTGCCACCTCATCAGTATCCATCAGTGTTGCCTATCCGTGCCACCTCATCAGTGACCGTCAGTGCTGCCTATCCATGCCACCTCATCAGTGACCGTCAGTGCTGCCTATCCGTGCCACCTCATCAGTATCCATCAGTGTTGCCTATCCGTGCCACCTCATCAGTATCCATCAGTGTTGCCTATCCGTGCCACCTCATCAGTGACCATCAGTGCTGCCTATCCGTGCCACCTCATCAGTATCCATCAGTGTTGCCTATCCGTGCCACCTCATCAGTGACCGTCAGTGCTGCCTATCCATGCCACCTCATCAGTGACCGTCAGTGCTGCCTATCCATGCCACCTCATCAGTGACCATCAGTGCTGCCTATCTGTGCCACCTCATCAGTATCCATCAGTGTTGCCTATCCGTGCCACCTCATCAGTGACCATCAGTGCTGCCTATCTGTGCCACCTCATCAAACGCACATCAGTGAAGGAGAAAAATTACTTGTTTGCAAAATTTTATAATAGAAACTAAGAAACTTTTTTTTAAAAATTTTTTTCTGTTTATAGTGCAGAGAATAAAACACCCAGTGGCGATTAAATACCACCAAAAGAAAGCTCTATTTGTGTGAAACAAAATGATAAAAAATTTCATATGGATACAGTGTCGCACGACCAAGCAATTGTCATTCAAAGTGCAACAGCACTGAAAGGTGCAAAACTGGCCTTGGCAGGAAGGGGGTATAAGTGCCCGGTAGGCAAGTGGTTAAGCTCTGTCAGCCTGATGGCATTAGGTGCTCAATACTAGCTGACAACTGTGAAAAGATGTCCTGATAATCAGTATTCATAAAAGGTTTAGGGCTGTCTGTCTAATTCTAGTCTTTACCAAGATCCACACCACAAATCAAGGGAATTAAAGGGAAATAAAAATGAAACGATAGTCACCCACATTTGTGCAAGCTGGACAACATTTCCCTGTATTTTCTGTAATAGATTCTAGGATTGTCAGGCCCATCTAGTGGCCAAAATGCTAAATATTTTTGTTGAGAAATTTAAAAAAAACTATAACCACATTTTGGCCACTAGATGGAGCTCATGTTTAAAGGAATTATTGGATTTCAGAAATATGGGGAAACTTTGTTCAGCCTGAGCAAGTGTGTGACATTCATCCAATGAATGATTTATAAAAACAGACCCCTTACACAATATCTTACTAGTCCTTAGATGCGGTGGCTGCATGATTTGTCTTTTAAAGCTAAATACATTTTCTGCAAGAAAATAAAATTACCTACAGATCCATTCTTTCCTGTGGACTGAACTGAAATCTCAAACAATGAATCAGTTTTCTTAGTTATTTTCTGTGAACTGCTTAAACTAAAACATTTTGTAGGGAGAACCTTGGAAAAGGGCTGGCTATTGCCATCTATATTTCCCAGCATACTCGATAATGTATCATTCTCCCCAGTAGAAAAGCAGAATAACATGCCCTGAGTACATGCGGAATACCTTGGTTTGGTGAAAAATGTTGCTAACTTTTGCTGCTGTCATTTCTATATAGCAAAAACAAATCTCTCTTTGCACATTGTTATTAATTTAAAAAAAAGACAGTAAGTTACAGTGGATATAAAAAAATTCTACACACCCGTTAAAATGTCAGGTTTCTGTGATGTAAAAAAATGAGACAAAGATAAATAACTTCAGAACTTTTTGCACCTTTAATGTGACCTATAAACTGTACAACTCAATTGAAAAACAAGCAGAAATCTTTTTAACCCCCCTCTAATTAACCCCAAATAAAAGCTGTTCTAGTAGGTCTTTCCTGACATTTACTTAGTCACATCCTACAGTAAAAGCCATGGTCTGCAGAGAGCTTCCAAAGCATCAGAGGGATCTCATTGTTAAAAGAGGAGGGTACAAATGAGAAGTGGAGAAGAGTACAAAAGAATTTCCAAGGCATTAGATATACCATGGAACAAAGTGAAGAAAGTCATCATCAAGTGGAGAAAATATGAGGCAACAGTGACATTACCAAGGACTGGACATCCCTCCAAAATTGATGAAAATATGAGAGGAAAACTGGTCTGGGAGGCTGCCAAGAGGCCTACAGCAACATTAAAGGAGCTGCAGAAATATCTGGCAAGCACTGGCCCCTTGGTACATGTAACAACAATCTCCCGTATTCTTCATATGTTTGGGCTATGGGGTAGAGTGGCAAGATGGAAGCCTTTTCTTACAAAGAAAAACATGCAAGCCTGGCTAAATTTTTCAAAAACACATCTGAAGTCTCCCAAAATCATGTGGGAAAATGTGTTATGGTCTGATGAAACCAAGGTTGAACCTTTTGGCCATAATTTCAAAAGATATGTTTGTCGCAAAAACAACACTGCACATCACCAAAAGAACACCATACCCACAGTGAAGCATGGTGGTGGCAGCATCATGCTTTGGGGTTGTTTTTCTTCAGCTGGAACTGGGGCCTTAGTCAAGGTAGAGGGAATTATGAACAGTTCCAAATACCAGTCAATATTGGCACAAAACCTTCAGGCTTTTGCTAGAAAGCTGAACATGAAGAGGAACTTCATCTTTCAGCATGACAACGACCCAAAGCATACATCCAAATCAAGAAAGGAATGGCTTCACCAGAAGAAGATGAAAGTTTTGGAATGGCCCAGCAAGAGCCCAGACCTGAATCTGATCCAAAATCTGTGGGGTGATCTGAAGAGGGCTGTGCACAGGAGATGCCCAGGAGGTGCACAGGAGTGGGCAAACATTGTCAAGTCAAGAAGTGCCATGCTGATAGACTCATACCCAAAAAGACTGAGTGCTGGAATAAAATCAAAAGGTGCTTCAACAAAGTATTAGTTTAAGGGTGTGCACACTTATGCAACCATATCATTTTAGTTTTTGTTTTTACTTCCCTCCACCTAAAAGATTTCAGTTTGTTGTTGAACTGAGTTGTACAGTTTATAGGTCACATTAAAGGTGGACAAAGTTCTGAAATGATTTAACTTTGTTTCATATTTTTACATCACAGAAAGCTGACATTTTAACAGGGTTGTGTAGACTTTTTATATCCACTGTATACCCAGTTGATCATGTAACGATAGAGGTTATTCTGTCTTCCATGTTCACAAAGCAGAGATAACCCTCCAGCAGTTTCAAGTTGTCAGAACAACCAAAGTGACTTCTGACTACTGTTCAAGGATTACCGAAGATTGTTCTCTCCTTTAATCTATAAAAGTCAATGGCTGTGTCATTGCGTAGATTACTGTACTTTATAATACTTACCCCAGACCAATAGCCAGCAGGTGGGATAATAGCAAGGAGGGAAGGAAAACTTTCAAAAATTCAGCAGAGAAAATCCCACCCTTCTTCATAACACTTGTATTTCTCATGCTCAGAGCGGAGCTACGCTTCGGATGCTTGAAGACAAATTCCCTGGGGGAAGAAGAAATAATAATCAAATTTTGTTAGCAAAAATCTATTTTTCAGGATTTTTAGCATTATACAGTTTTCTTAGGGAAATCATTTTTGTTACGTTTATTACCTGGAGATCCTGCCAACAAATAATAATGCAGACGGACAATATTTAGCTGCTGCCCCGCAATTGTAGCCAGCATTGTCAGCCTGATGTGCACACTCCTTCAGTTAGCCATCGGCCTGCCTGTCTGATAGACCCAATTAGCAGCCGACATTGCTGCTAATTGCAAACCAGCAATGAAGTGCTGTTGTTGGCAGAATCTCCAGGTATCTAAACAAAAAAACTGCAGTTTCCTGGCAGTGTCTGGCATTACTTTTTTTTATTAAAATTATTTTTATTTAAAGATAAACAAAGCACATACATTGATTACAGGACATTCATTCTTTGGATGCATAGGGAAAACAATACATCCAGTATACAAAAGGTAAATGGAGTTAGATTACATTGTCACATAGTATATTCTATCAAACATTTGGCTATGACCGTTTAAAGGTTTCTAAAAAGCCAAAAGAGCAAATAAGTGAAAATAACAGCAAAATTAGAATCTGGCATGATTTTTAAAAGGAAACCTGAAACCAGACTATGGATGTTCCAGTATTTACATAGTCCTGACAAGCAGTAAATGGGATTTAAAACAAGCCCACACTGACCTCTGTAGCTTCATGTGCTGTGGAGCAATTTATCCTTAAAGTGTTACTAAACCCACAACAATAAAATCATGTAAAATGTATATGTAGTAAAGCATGCTTGTTATACTCACGTTTATGTTTTTGTTATTTTTTTTTGTTTATTGTGGTCGTTTCGTTAATGGAACCTAAGGGGTTAAGCCTCTAGTTACTCAAGCAGGCAAATCAGACAGTTTTATGAGGTACTGAGACCTCTATTGAGGTTACATTCTGCTAGTCCTATTAACAGACTGATAAGCAGTGTCTGATTGTGGATTGTATAACCTGAAGAAAGATGGGGGGGGGGGGGCGTAAGGTCATTGTGGCTTTGTCTCTTCTTCTGACAACATGGCTTGGATAAACCAAGACCTAAACAAAATGCCTGTCACAGAGCTTTTCATGAGCCCAATGCGCACGACCATTACACATGCGTTAAATGGAGAGGATCACCTGGGAAATTTTTGTAAACTGCAAGTAAGGTCAACTTTTGTGGGTGGAGTTTCTAATTCCTTGTGTTGTTTTTTCAGTGTCCAAAGGATGTAGAGGATTCCAGGGTCATAATGCAAGGTGAAGACTTTCTATTATATCAATTTACCTGAAAAAGGGAGAAACGGAACAGAAATGGGACCCCATGTATGCATTCTGTACATACATGCAATACATGGAGAGGATCACCTGGGGAGTTTGCCTATACTACAAGTAAGGTCAACAATTGTGAATGAGCATGGTTGCCACTTTCATCAAGACCGTATCTGCAAAGGATGGGAATTGAGGTCAGAAGTCTGGTGAGCACGGCTCCAAAATGACAAACATATTTTATCTAAATCTGATCTGTGTATACCAATGCAGTGCCAGCTGTCCTGATCAATGTAACCAAAGAAAAAAAGGACAATAAGCTTACTTGGGAGGGATATTTTCAGGCCGGCTGGACCAATCCCAAATCCAGTCTGAATTCTTCTTCAATATGTTTTCCAGCTCTTTTCTCCGTTCAATATAATCTTCCTCTGACTGTCACAGAAGGAATGATGGAACATTTAACACTTCTTATGCACAGGTGATCTCCGATAAGCACTGACATACACTATTCGATCTCAAAGATCCATCTTTGCATTGACCTTAACTCTTGGTTCACACCTAAGTGTTTTCTGCAGTGTTTTTCAGAAAAGCAGTACAGTCCATTTAACATGATTTCCTATGGGACATGCATGCGTTTTTTTTTTTAAAGGGTCAGGGACTTTTTTGAGCACGTTTTTTGGTTCTATAGGCTTCAATGGAAATGCTGCAGACAAGTATTGCATTTTTGCATTTTAAATCTGCCTAGCAACACGAAAAATAAAGAAAAAAAATAATGCAACAAAAACACAATGTAGAAACGGCTCAAACGCAACCTGCATAGGTGTAAACCTAGCCTAACCAAAGAGTCTGTAAACCCAAAGAAGTCTGTTTATAGAACATTATTTGGATGAATGTCAGACACATTCATGCAGGCTGGATGACATTTCCCCTTATTTTCTCTAATAGATTAGTTTCCATGATCATCAGCTCCATCTAGAGGCCAAAATGCAGGATAGTTTTCTAAAATATTGCATTGAGAAAAAGTACCACATGTGCCAATGGATGAAAGAAAGGTGTATGTCACCCACACTGTATCCATTCAGGATATTGAAAAGACTAAAACTTGCCATAGATAATTCTTCAGTCCACACAAGCAAGGTGGATGGAAGAATTTTGCTTGCTGAGACATTATATTCTGACAGCAGGACTCTGCTATCAGAATACACTGATTGACAAACGTTTCTGACATTCCTGTTCAACAGAAGTTGATCTAACAATTTGTCGAACAGAAACAACTTCACATTTGTCAGATCCCAGCTGAATTGGCCAGGTTTCGATCCATCTATGGCCAGTTTAAGTTGATATACGTCACCAAATGAAGGATTATGTAGGTTTAAAAACTCTTGCTTTGGCTGGGTTCACATTATACCCTTTCAGCACCCTTCTTAGGGATGGCGGGGGTGAAGCTTGAGGGTTATGGACTTTAGATGCTGCAATAGATACAACTTTGAATGTTTTACAATATATGTACTGATAGGAAACTACACTCATTGGACACTTTATTAGTTACACCTGTTCAATTGCTAGGTAACACAAATTACTAATCAGCCAATCACATGGCAGCAACTCAATGCATTTAGGCATCTAGACATGCTGAAGATGACTTGAAGTTCAAGCCGAGCATCAGAATGGGAAAGAAAAGGAATTTAAGTGACTTTGAACGTGACATGGTTGTTGGTGCCAGACAGGCTGGTCTGCGTATTTCAAAAACTGCTGATCTACTGGGATTTTCATGAACAACCATGTCTAGGGTTTACAGAGAATGGTCCGAAAAAGAGAAAATATCCAGTGAGTGGCAGTTGTGTGGAGGATAATGCTTTGTTGATGTCAGAGGAGAATGGACAGACTGGTTGCTGCTACATTCAGATGGTAAGATCCAAATTTGGTGTAAACAAACATGAAGGCATGGAACAATGCTGCCTTGCATCAACGGTTCAGGCTGGTGGTGGTGTAATGGTGTGGGGGATATTTTCTTGGAACTAGCAAGGTGTACCTAATAAAGTGGCCGGTGAATGTATATGTGCCAATATTTTGGCAGACATTTATAAATATTACCATGAAAAACAATAGCTATTGAAGTTGGCATTCTGGTATTGGGTATTTATTTTAATTTATAATGAAATTGATTTTAATGCTTTAATTTGAATAAAACAGTTATTCCAAGAGGTAGCACTCCACAGGTCTTTATTTCTATATTCAATCTTTTGTCATAGTACAAACAGTACAAATGTATAAAGTCCATGGAAGTCTAAAAAACAGGTTGTTTTGCGATTTGAAAGTTTGAACACTGGGGACTCTATACATTTTGATGAAGGTTGAGTAGCCACTTTGGCAAGTGAGGACCATTTCCTCCCAGCACATTCTGGCAGTTGATTGCTTGTGTGAATGAGCCCTACAGGTCCATAGCTTGTACTGACTGTTACTAGATGTCCTGAGACTTTTTTACCTATTTTGGGGTATCCTATGCCCTAACCTTCTCTGGCTTAGTTTATTGAACTTTATAAACCCCTTAATCATTCTAAATCATCCATTCTTAGCTTTGGTTTTGTGGAACCATAAGGATCCTCCAGCGGTTGCTAGGAGTTCCCTTAGCTGTGGCTGATTGTCCTCTTTATTGATGGTGCCTGCATAGTTCCGGGGCCTTGAAAGAGCCAGCTGCATGACACCAATGATCGTTTAACTGTTTGTAAGGTTTGACCACCTCTGTGAGGGTGCACTCTTCTCACCTTTCCACCAATGCACGAGGCATTTTTCCCACTGACTCACAATACATTTGTTTTAGCAGGGGTTCCCCTAGACCTAAAAATAATTTCAAAGGATTCCTTGGGGGTAAAATGGTTGTGAAAGGCTGTTCTAAAGCGACCAACGCCAAATTTCCTGTTTTGCCTAACAACAAACCAAGGACTCTGCCCTGTGACTGAAGACCTTCATAGAGATGTGTAAAGAATCCTGACAACAATGTCTATTGCTTTATCATCAGCAGAGGTGCTATAAGGAGGTCCTGCCAATCACAAAGCAACATATTCTTTAGCAGCCCATAGATGATTCGATTTTCTTTCCTTCCACCACGGGTGGAAGGAAAGAAAATCGCTTGATTCCCTCATGCCCATCCCTTGATTCCCCCATCAACACAATCAGTATTGATCAAACAATGATCGATGGATCGACTTGTGTACAATCAGCCTGCCCATAGATGGATGGAAATTCGGCTGATCCCTGCTGAACCGGCTGAATTTCAATCCCTTCATGGCCGGCTTTAGTTTCAACCAGTTCCTGATGTTTAACCTGCAACCACATCATCGGTGTACTAATGTGCTAACAACAGCTGAGACAGGAGCAGGACAATTCAAAGATGAAATGTACCATTCTATAATGCAATCTTCAAAACACTCACTTCAATGGTTTCCTCAATAATGTCCCTGTATATCTGATTTCCTGTACATTAGTGTGCAGGGCTCACCTGACTTCATACTATACACTTAAAACATTTATTTTTGATGTTTAACAGTAAAGAGGTTTAACAACATGATATCAATGTTAGTCTTTGCATTAGCTAGGTAAAAGATAAGAACATAAAGATTTATAGCTGCAGGCCATATGGGGCCAAGATTAGTCAGCAAAGGTGAGGCCGGTGAATGGCTCAGCCAGCTGCTTGTGACACCTGTTTTTCTAAAACGTTATTTGCACAGTGGCTGCAGTAAGCTAGCTTTGTGCAAGAAGAGCTTTCACCGCCAGCTATAAACTCCGGACGCGCCTGACTCCAATTTATTTGTTTGTGTGGGCTACAAAAAGTCAACAAAAAATAACTGGATAGACAGATAATCTAATCATTTTTAATTGTCTTATTCACGAGTGATCCATGTGTACCAGAGGTCATTTGAATCTTTGCTATAGAATAAAGACAGTTTTTTGTGGTTGACTCTTTTCCAATCACTCCGAGTTTGTATAAAGTCTATCAATTCATGTGAATTACCTGGGAGCTGCTTTTTTCTTTGCTGCCCTGGGTTTCACTGTCGCTTAGTCTCTGGATGCTCTGCGGGGTCTGAGATCGAGGGGGGCTTGGAAAGGCAAGACAAAGAAGAAACAGATTAGATCAGTAAATTCAATTTTCAGATTATGCAGCTTTGGTGTAGTTCCACGAAGGCCCCTTTCACATGTGTTCATCTGTCTGTTTATGGATGAAAAACGGACACCCGTGTATTTCTATGGACTAGCGGATGATCATCTGTTTACATCTGTTAATGTCCGCATCTGTTAACATCCATTTTTTTTAAGGGAAGAAAACTCTAAAATGGAACGGACAAAAAAAAACGAATGTAAACAGATAAAACTGGATGTAAACAGAAGAAAACGGATGTAAACGGTCAAAAACGGATGTAAACAGAAGGAAACGGATGTAAACGGTCAAAAAACGGATGTAAACAGAAGGAAACAGATGTAAATGGAAGTAAACAGAATAAAACATATGAAAAATGGATGAAAAAATGGATGAAAAACCAGATTAAAAAACGGATGTAAACTGGTGAAAAACTGATCCATTTTTTCTTGGAAAAAAAGTGACTGAACGGATGAAAAAAACAGAACGCCCGTGTGAAAGGGGCTTATTTGGTAGCCTTCTGCATCCATCCCCTTCCCTGTCGTATGCTCACACAGCTAGTTGCCAAAATGATCCTGGCTGGGACCACACACATGCTCTTATTCATTCCAATAAATGTCCAAGTTTTTTACTATATATACTTACACACCACGACCTAGTAGTAAACACTTCTACCTTGCCATACTAGGATTCTTGGTTTGAATCCCAACCATGGCACTACCTGCATGGAGTTTGCATGTTCTCCTTGCGCCTGCTTAAGTTTCCTCCATGTAATCCGTTTCCTCCCACACTCCAAAGTCCTGTTTGTAGATTAATTGGCCCCTGTCTAAATTGCTCTAGTATGTATAAGTATGCTTCTTAAAGGCAGAGACTGACATGGATGTACTATATGTGAAGCTCTAGGTCAGGGTTCTCCAAACTTTCTAAACAAAAGAGCCAGTTTACTGTCCTTCAGACTTTAGGGTGGCCAGACTGTGGCCATCGGGAGTAGAAAATTTCCTGGTATCAGTTGGGAGTAAACAATGCCCCATTGTTGGTGTCATTGGTAGGAATTGTTCCCCATTATTGGTAGGAACTGTGCCCCAACATTGGTGTCATTGGGCACCATTGTTAGAGTCATTGGGAGGAATTGTGCCCATCAATGGTGTCATTGGAAAGAATGTGCCCCATCTCTGGTGTTATTGGGCCCCATTGTTTGTGTCATTGGGAAGAACTGTGCCCCACCATTGGTGTTTTTGGGAGGAATTGTGTCCCATCCTTGGTGTCATTGGGAAGAACTGTGCCCCACCATTGGTGACATTGGCAGGAATTGTGTCCCATCGTTGGTGTCATTGGGAAGAATTGTGCCCCTTTGTTGGTGTCAGCAAATGAAGCAGTGCTCAAAGGGCCAGATAAAAGCAAGCAAAGGGCCGCATTCGGCCCACCGGGTCGCAGTTTGGAGACCGACCTCTCTAGGTAAATGGTTGGCATGTTATAGTAATACACACATTCATGGCAGAGGATTCCCAGAACAATATGGATCAGCTAAGGAGAGAGCAGAAACACCTTTTAGATGTCATTTATCTTACAGGCAGAAGCACGCACGTAAGGATAGAACTGTCTGATAAGAGATGAATCTCTGCTCTGATGAGTCATTCTTTTGTGTGTAAATTGCAGCTTGAGCTACTGAGCTCTGTACACAAAGTCTTTCCAAGAGGCTGAGAAGAAAACACCATCATCAAGCAGAGAAGCGCCACATGATGGTTGAAAAATAGATTGTGTACTTTGCAGGTGCACTTGCACTCATTTTCCTTCCTCTAAATGTATGTGTTAAAGCTTCACTTTGTAAAAAATACCCAATAAGGTGCAAGGAAAATTTAAAAAAATAATTTTTGTTTGCACAGTTGGATGATGGAAATCAGCAGAGCTTTACCACATTTACTAAGCTCTGGGGGAAAAAAAAATGGAACTGCACTTGCAAAGTGCAGAGACTATTTGCTTTTAGTAAATTCACACCAATATTTACACAATCACGGCACATTCCCTTTGAATTGAAGCCCAGCAGCACGGTATTCTGTACTTTATGGAATGGGTGCAGCTGCAGGTCCTTTCTAGAGGCTTTTTTGCATATGCTGTCCCATGTTCCATGTCTCTCTATAATATGGTCAGATACAGGCTGTGTGCACTTGTAAGCGCATACAAAACTTTTCAGGCATGAAAAATTGAAGTGGTAAATGTGGCATGGGTTCAATGGATTTGAAGCTGAGAATCTTTCCAGATGTCATTATTCAACAAACCTACTGTCCTGGAGAAACCTATTCAATAAATCATTACAAAGAGCAACACTTGCAACAAGTGCAATGTGGAGGACCCCTACCAACCAATCAGAATCCACCTTGCAGCAGCAATGACTTTACTATAGTCAATTCTGAGTTTTTGCACCATTTATTGAATAGGCCTGAAAAGTAGTCACAACATTCCAAATCGTATGTCCAAACCCAGGAACTATGGTAATCGCTTAAAGTAGAACATCACTCTAAAGGTAAAGTCCTACTGGTTCAATCTCTTCCCCCCAGCCTGTAACCGAGCTACAGGGATTTTTGTGCGGGAAGAGGGGAACAAGCACCAGATTTTATCAATACCCATTCCACATTCCTTGCCTAGGTAAGGATGATGCCGCTTGCCCTGCCCCTCCTGCAGCCTCCTAGGAGATGCCAGATGTCCCAGGAGGCTGAAGGACCATTCAGAGGGCACCAAGCCAACTCGAACATGTGCAATGGGGAGCCAACTGTGGTTTCTGAAGAAGCCACAGCCGACTATCATATTTAAGATGGCAGCGCCGATGACCTGCAGCAATAAGAAGAACCAGCTGCGGGAAGACAGTACTGGACTGCACTGGTAAGTACCTGATTTTTAAAAGGTCAGCAGCTACAGAATGTGTAGCTGCGGACTTAAAAAAATTAATAAATAAATAGAGTTCCTCTTTAATAATACATACCTGTCACAATGTGAACTTTCTCTAGAGCTGCTCCGTCCAGACTCATGTTGGGCATCCAGAAGTATTTTTTCCATATCACCATTATGAATAGAGATTGAGGCTGGCACTTGCTCTTGGCCCACTAATGGTGTTACTCCACCATTACCGTTGTTGCTGAAATGCAGCTCTACCCAAGAACCTATAGGTCAGAAAATAAAATAGCATTAGCAAAGAAAAAAAAAAAAAAAAAAACCTACCAAAATAAACAAAAATGGCTCTCTTTTTAAATTATGGAACCTAATATTTGCTCTTTTTATTCATTTTACTGAGAAGAAAAGAAAGAATTATAAAAGACAAACATATACAATACATTAAAATTATAACAAAGAAATACAGTCTTCATGCTTTCATCATTGGATGGATACAACGTGCTATGACATTCATGGTCTTCTGACTCATTGACCATCAACGAGGGAGAAGAGGAACCCTTTTTTCATAGACATATAACTCTCCTAACAGTATCTGGGACTGGAAAGGGAGCTGTAGGTCAATCACCAACCCAGGAGACTCACTTTGGGAAAACTAGTGCTAGAGAAACCCAATTCAAATTCCATAAAACAATTGATATGTACCCAGAATATACCTTATATAGCCTCAAGGGAGAATAGCAGATTTGGTGATACAATTTAAGTTGTATTCACTTATGTTCTTCTGGTATCTTCATATAAGTTATAGGCTGGCTTCACACATATGCACCGTACCCACATTAAAATGCAGTTTTACATGTGATAATGCCCTATACTCTGTGCCGTGCCATTCATTTAGAAAGTCTCCTATGTAATCTAAGCATTGATTCTTACACTTGCATTTAATCAAAACGACTTCCATATCATGATAGCACGTCCAACCATCATGTAAGGCCTATAGGCACATAAACACATATTACGTCAGATGTTCAGATCCAATTAAGACTTATGCTGACATTTTGCTTAATCAACCATGGGCATGAGTGGTGTCAAGGGGCACAAACAGCTTCTAGAGGTTGGGAATCACTAAGATAATGATATACTCTAAAGCAATACTCCAGAGACCAACTAACAGATGAAGCCCTCAACCTTCCTCAGTCCCGCCGCACTGTACAGCAATTAATATGATTTTTTTTTTCATTTTTATAAAATTGTGGTCAGCTAATCTATTTTTCCTTTACTCTTTATAGTGAATGTCCCATAACACATTGCACCTGAGCAGCAAGGGACATTAGTCTGCTATTTGTTTGGACATAACAAGTGCAGCTAAATTATCGGTATAGCCCTTGACACTTCCATAGCTCACAAAATACGCATATAATTCCACCAATAGTAATGCCCACTAGCAGCGTGTGGATCAGAATTACGTCATCCTTGTAGTCTGGAGAACTACAGGGAGATACTTAATACAGTCTGTTAATGGTCCTGGAGCCCGAGGCTTTATAAAGCTTTGCGAAGAATAAAGCCTCCATTCTTAGATCCTCATCCTACCTGGTAGCCAGATTTAGTTATTAGTTTCTGCTGTGCACAAGCCTTTATATGTAAACTGACGGATGCTCGGTGCCTTCTCTAGGCTGTGAGAGCCTGCTGCAGGGTGAAAAGACTGACTGCTGACAGAACACCAAAAAGATATTACTAGAGCACTCTGATTGACTGGGGAACCCATAGAGGGCACCTGTTAGTAAAGCACAGACTTGAGTTTTGTAACGTAAGCCATTGGAAGGTCATTTGCATATTTCGCAATTGCAAACCTGTAAAAAAAAATGAAGTTACTATGCCAAAAATCTACACAAAAACAATTATTTATAGTGGTGCACCGAAATGAAAATTCTTGGACTGAAAGCAAAAATTGAGAATGCATTTGGCCGAAAACCGAAATGGACATTTTTTTTATATACAATTGTATTATGTTCGACTTTTTAATTAATATCATGAATTTAAATGAATATGAACTTATTTTCAGCACCTTTTTGGCCAATAGGCTGCTTTCACGCTGAGCAGTTTTTGCAGTGCTTTTGTGTAAAAAAAAAAAAAAAAAAAAAAAAGGCAAAAAAGAAATGCGAAAAGAGAAATGCATCCCTTTAAATTCAATGTATGTCTTCACACTGGTCTGTTGCGCTTCCCTTGTGGTGTTAAAAATCCTGCTTGCCGCAGATTTGGTACAAATTTGCCAAGTAAAAAACAACACACACACACACACACACACACACGAGGCCTGGTTCACATCAATGAGTTTTTTTAGGGTTTTTTGCAGAAAAGCACTACAGTCATTTAACATGGTTTCCTAAGGGACACATTCACATCTATGCTTTTTTTGGGGCTGCTGTGTTTTTGGAAAGAGTCAAGGAATTATTCATAACAAACGTTGCATTTTTGGTTCAACAGACATCAATGGAGACACTGCAAAAAAATGCATGTAGTGCATTCTTTACGTATTTTCACACGTTAGCCGTGTTTTTTATGAATTTTGCCCAGGAACAAATAAAGAAAAAAAAAAAAAAAAACACTCAAAAAAACATCAAAAAAGCATCAAATGCGCATGCAAAACACACTGAAAAATGACAAAACGCAAACTGCATTGGTGTGAACCAGGCCTGAAATGCATTGAAAACACATCAAACATGCATCAAAAATGTGTTGTATTTTTAATGCGTTTTTATTCTGTTCAGCAACAAATTAAGCAGAAAAAAAAAAAAAAAAAATTTTACAAAAATGCAAAATGCATCAAAAATGCAAAACTTACTAAAAGCAAACTGCATTGGTGTGAACCAGGCCTGAAATGCATGAAAATGTATCAAAAACACACACGCGTTGCGATTTTATGCATTTTATGTTTTTAATCTGCCCAGCAACAAGTTGGCAAGATAAAAAAAAAAAAAAAAACTGCAAACCGCATGAAAAATTCTTCAAAAATGCGTGTGCAAAAACGCAAAAAGCACTGCAAAGCAACAAAGCAAACTGCATTGGTGTGAAACAGGCCTGAAATGTATTGAAAACGCTGCAAAAACGCATAAAAAAAAAGTACGTGTCGCAGTTTTGATGTGTGATAAAAGCTAAAAGATATAAAAGGAAGAGACAATATTATTATTATACAGGATTTATATAGACATCCCCCCAAAAAATGCTCGGGGATACATGTTATAGTGAAAAGAAAAAAAAAAGTTGTGTTTATAAATGCATTATATAGAAAGCATTGGTACATGGGCTATATAATAAAGAAGGCCAGGTTCACACCTGTGTGTTTTTTGTATGCATTTTGCAAGAATGCAGTGCATGCCATTTATCAGGATTTCCTATTGATCAAGTTCACATCTATGCGTTTTTTTGCGGGCGCAGTTTTTTGGAAAGGGTTAGGGACTTCTTTTCGTTTGCGTTTTTTAGTCCAATAGATTTCATTGGAACCACATACGAAAAATGCAAGTGCTGCGTTTTGTGTGTTTTACGCGGTTTGGATTTTTAATCTGCCCAGCAACAAGTTGGTCAAAAAAATAAAAGAATTAAAAAAAATGCAAAATGCATCACAAACACATGCAAAAACACACCACAAAAAGCACTGCAGAAACAGATCAAACGCAAACTGCATAGGTGTGAACCTAGCCGAAATGTAGTGAAGATCAAGGATCAAAGCCTCCAAGGAACCTGCTAGCCCACACAAGCTTTAATCCTGAAAATTGAAGTTCCACTTTAAAGTTCTTACACAACAAAAGAGGTTATATAGGTTCAGCGCTGAGGATAAACATCAGCAGATTTATTATTAACCTGCAGAATGGTTACAGTATTTACCGGGAACAAAGGAACACAACACGCGTCATAGCTCGGCATACCTTCATACTATCACAGTCATCTTTCCATTCAATGTAAACGCTCTGCATTGTATGTGGAGATCAACTGACTGCAGTCACATGGCATTTGTTTTCACCTTACTCCGAAGGCGAGGGAACAAAAGTTCAAGTAAAAATAGCAATACAATATGAGCTAAGCTGTTACTAAAAGCCAACCAACACACATGCATCACCTATCAGGAAATATTTAACCCGACCACCTACTTATCCAAGAATAGAGTGTCCATCCAATCAGTGGGAGGAGTGAATAGAGGGATTTCAATGTCGGGAAAATTGGCCATGATCTTAGTTGACTCACAAGTTTGTTTACACCATGAAGGCACAGCATGTGCCAACTCTAGTACTCCGTTGTGTACTCCATAGTTATTAATCGGCAGATCAAATGTACTTGATATTTTTGCTGCCTAGATCGGGTCGGAATTATTTTATATTGCAGAGAATGCAATAGGAAAGATGAAGGGAGACGGTGGTGAAACCTCCCCACTGAAGTCACCAGCAAGTATGCTAAGCCCGCTGGTCATTTAGGGGTTTATTTACTAAAGCTGGAGAGTCCAAAATCAGACTCCCTTCTGCATAGAAACCAATCAGCTTCCAGGTTTCATTGCCAAAGCTTCATCGAACAAGCTGAGGTTAGAAGCTGATTGGTTTCTATGCAGAAGGGAGTCTGATTTTGGACTCTCCAGCTTTAGTAAATAAACCCCTTAGAGTCCATCCAGAACTGAATTTACCAACAGTGGGTGGACTGTCTATTTCAAGCAGACCTTAACTTCCTAAAACTAACCTTTCACAACAGGGCAGTAGGCAGCACCAGTAAGCAGTATGTGCCACTAGTGGCTTCACTGCCCCCTTGGGCCTCCAAATCCAGGGCACACAGAATATGCAGATACTGGCTTTGCTGTAAATCTAAACTAAACCGCAAACTCACCACAAGCAACTGCAACCTGTGCAATGCCCTAAAGACAGGTGTGCTGTGGAAAAGACCAAAAAAAATTGCTTGTTCTCAAAAACAATTGCCAAGCACAAGTAGGAGCCCTGAGTTCCTCAACTCAATGTCATCATAAGACTTAGGACCACACAACTTACCCTGTTTAAGAGCCCATTTCCTTCTTTCCTCCATAACTAGAATGGTTTTTGCATTCCTGTTTTTGCTGTCCTGCTTTCCTCCACAACTGGCTTTGTTTTGACCCTCAGCCCTTATTTTCTCCACAACTATCCCTCTTTTAGAACCTCTGTCTGTTCTTTACTAATGTCCCATCTTAGACCTGCTGTCCTCCTCTCTTCCACAACGGTCTCTCTTTTAGGCCTTTTGTCCTTCTTAACTCCACTAATGTT